AGACTTAAAGTCTTGAAAGCGTAAGGTGATCCAGTCTTGTTGTGCTCTGGGGAGCATAATAGACTGTTGCTGGCCAAAATGGTCCTTCAGGGACTACCATAGGACCAGCGGATCCCTCTCAGTCATGTACTCAGACTTCAGGTTTGGGTCAAGATGGTGGCGTATAAAGTACAACGCCTTTGCTTTATCGGGCTTTGTGCGTTCATCTCTTCCTTCGGGGAAGGGGGAAATGGTATGATCGAGACACATGCCATCGAGCCTGTTCTCGGCATCGTTAGCCCAAGTGAGGTAGTTGCTGCCATCCACGGCGAGCTTCTCAAAGTCCCTCTTTGCAATGTCCGACATGCTTGCACAATTTAATGCACAGAATTAGTGATTGTCGGTCACATGTATTCTTCAGGATTACATTTTATATAATCTTCAGGACCATACAAATTTCCCAGGCATAACCTTTAGGGTTACTTTTATAATGTAAATCACAATAAATAAAATTTGCAATAAATAAAACCGCGAGATTTAAATATGAAAATAAATTGCAGTAATTAAATAAACTTAATAATGCAATGACATAAAATAAATATAATGGGCTTCAGGCCACTAGAATTTTGCAGGCTTCGGGGCACACATTTGCTCAAAAACAGGATTTTACGGCTTTAAATCTGAGATGGGTCAAAAAGGACCCATTTGGAGGGTTTTTGGGCTGACCTATCAAGCCCAGTCATTTCTGGCCGTTGATTTTGATCAATGGCTCAGGTCCCTCCAGCCCCCATATAAAAGGGTGGGGTAAAAACCCTAGCCCTAGCCTCCTTTCCCACTCCTTTACGGCTTGTTTAGCAACTTGAGGGAAGGGGATTGGGAGTTTACACGAGGGAATTGATGGTGAGATTAAGATGAGAATTTAATTTTTCATCCCAGTCTCTTGTTGGAAGAGGTGGTGGAAATTGATATGGAGTTTAGTTGGAGATTAGGTCATTAATGAAAACGGATGGCTGAGATTTGTTTAGGCGAAGTAAAGGAGGAATTCCTTCCCAATTACCACCCCCTACCCAGGTATTGAAAAGGAGGGAGTTCATTCCTCAATTCCCCATCCTCATCCCACCAAAATTTCTATGTCTCCCAACCAAACAAAACAGTTAATAGGCTCATCCCTCTAAACTCCTAAAAACTCCCCCCAACCAAACGGGCCGTTACTCTTTCTCTTCCTCATCCTTTCTCAGAAACGTGCAGCAGGGAGAGAAAGGGGGTGTCGGTCAAGGGAGGAGGGCCGCGTGGGGCCCATGCCCGCGTCCCGAGGCCTGCGCGCACGCGCTCGAGGCCCTGCGGTGGCCGGCTGGGCCGCTCCCGCGCCAGGCTGTGGCTGGTCGCGTCCGCGCCCGCGCCGAGCCGCGAGGCCGTGCGCCCGCTCCTGCACCAGCTGCGCGCGCTCGCGTCGCCTGCCTGTGCCGGGTTTGGAGCTCCTTCACCTTCTTCGGGACAGTGGGTGCCCGGTCTACATCGCGTTTTCAGGACGGCGATGATTTAGCCTTCCAGGGCCATTTCTTAACGAGCGAAGGCAAAACCATTCTTGCATCGTCAAGCGAGCGGAGGCAGAGCCTTCATTGCTTCGCCATGGTTGTTTCCGGTATGGACAGCAACAACGGCATGGCCGCCTTCATGTTGCTGGGTGCTTCCGAAGCACCAACAACTCAGCAGGTGCGTTTCTGTGTGTGTGCTTGTTCATAGTTGTGTTGTAGAGTGTAAGAACAAGCAGTTTGTAAAGAACTGATTTCTCACCTTCTTGCCCTTAGCTCTGTAGAACTCGTGCTGATAACGTGTTAAGAAATCGTGTTCTTTTGTTGTGCACATACACACAGGAATTTAGAAATAAAGGAACAAGAACACAGGATGTAGGGAGGAGGAGTGCTCTATTTATTTCTTTTACTTTCACTTGTTACAGCATAATGAAAGGGACCCTCTATTTATAATAGGAGTGACTCAGATGAATACAAGAGCACAGTGTTTGAACCATTTGAAATTTCCTCCTCTCTTCATTAATTTGGCCACCATTCAAAGTCATCCATTCATATACTGTTCTCTGGAGTTCTGAACTTACATGGACTTTGATTCACAACACTTACCTACCCTTCCAGCTGTTCTTCCTCCCCCATTCGCCTTCTCACTCGGTTTCTTTGTCGTGCTCTCCTCCCCGTCGACCGCGCCGCTGTGCGCCTCGCCTCGTCGTCGCCCGCGCCGACCCGCCACGCCTCCTTCTCCTCGCCTCCCGCACCGCCACTCCTCCTTCTCCTCCCTCCCGCGCCGCCGTGCCTCCTTGTCCTCAGTCCCATCGACCGCGCCGCCTCAGCTAGGAGCTCTGTCCGCCGCCCCTCCTCCGATCCGCGCCGGTGGCGTTGGCGGGGCCCGCAGCCACGCAGCTCCAATGCTGCGCCTCCACCGTCGACGACGCTTCGTCCCCGTGGCGGCGGCCCCTAAGTCCCGAGCGGAGGAATTAGACGATGCGTCTGCGTTGTTCTTGCCCTTCTTTTTGTTGGTCTGGTATTTTTTGATTTTTTTTTTGCTTTCTGTTTTGATCTAATCTAAGAGTATGTCTTGGAGCCTTGGATTTTTTTCCCGTAGATGCTGTAAATGTTAGATGTATTCCATAATTTGCTTGAACTTGTTGGATTCCGCGGGAGGGCGATGAGCTCNGGGTGATGAGCTCCAGGAGGGGAAGGTGACGAGCTCGGCGGTGGCAGCTGTGGCGCCGTCCGATGCGATGGACCAGAAGAATCGGTGGCGGGAGGACGAGGTTTGCTGTGGCGGGAGTGGAGTTTTGGAGGGCGAGACGGGGATTTCGCGATTGGATTTTGGGGCGAGGGCACGGGGCGGCGAGGGAACGACGCCCACAGCGCACGCGCTCGCGTCGTGGAATCCGCGCGCGCCCTGGAACAGGCGAGGTTTTGTGCTGCTTCGTTTGGTGACGAGCTGCCTAGCTGAGGCACGGTTCCATCCGCCACATCGGCATTTTCCCTAACTGGCCGTGTGAAGCACCGGTCCAGCTAGGAGCACTGTGAGAGGCCTTAGTAGTCTCATCTCCACTATTTATACCACTGTGGCTTTGCAAATCTTATGATGCGCAGGTACACCCTCCGTAAAAAAAATAGGATTGGATGTGACGTAACCTAATATAACGAATCTAGATAGACTATGTCTAGATTTGTTGTACTAAATTACGTCACATCCAATTCTAGGTTTGTTTTTTTTACGAAGGGAGTACTGAAGTTCATCAACCCATCCTTCAAAATTAATGGATATTTTGATCTAATGGATGCCAATTAAACTCAG